GCTGGTGTCCTCGGCTCCCAACAGGGGCCGGCCCTGGGATGCTCCTTTGGTGGGTGTCAGGTAGCAGGGCAGGAGCTCCTGAGTTGGAGGTGGGTGTGGCCACCGCCCTCATCCTCAACCCCTTTGATGACTCCTTAGGCCAGTGGTCCTCAGTGCGGTCATCACATTCCTAAAACCTGCAGACCGGCTGCCTGACACCACAGCTCATCAGAATACCCAGGGGGTTTCATTCGATTTCCTGAGCTGATGCAAGTGGGAGAGCAGAATAGAGGGTGTGGAGGGGACTGAGCCCTTCCGTGGGGCTCAGCCCCCAACAGATGCAGAGCACACGGAGGCCAAGGGAACGCGACGCACCGGTGTGCGTGTGCAGAAGGGACATATACGAAGGTGGGAAGGGCAGAGAAGCTGCAGTCCAGCCCTTGCTGTGGGCTGGAGGAGCCCAGGTGCACTCAGGAGAGATTCCACGGTCGCCCAGCGAGGCGACGCCCTGCTGAGAAAGGCTGGCTGGCAGGATCCCGAGGGTGTGGTACCTGGCTGGGCTGGCAGCCCCGTGCCAGAGCCGGGGCAGGGCCCAGGGGACGTGGCTCACCAGGCATAGAAGAATGGGGTTTCTGTGCTGCTTATCAGGATGGCGGCTCCCGGGCGGGATGCAAGGAGGTTCCAGAGCCCGCCCAGCGGATGGCTGCCGTCAGTCCCAAGTCATGGCAAGGACTTTGAACGGGGGACCCCACCTCCGACGCACTGGCGACACGGGGCGGCAGCTCCCTCCCCGGTTAGGTCTGGGGTGAGTCGTGTGCCTGCCTGTGGACACAGGGGGCAGGCAATGGCTTTGGACAGTGAGCCAGCTGCACAGTGCTGTCAGACGAGTGATGTAAGACCTGGACAGACACCTTGACCTTCCTCGTTGAAAGAAACCTTGGACCTTTGCAAAAGGTCAAGGAGCTGGTTGGATCCACTTAACCATTTGGGGGGCAGTGAAGAGATAGTGAAAAGGTTTGGAGGAGAAAGGCGCCGCTGTGAGGGTTGGTCCGAGAAGGTAGGGCAGGGGCTAGTGGAACATTGGCAAGGATTCGCCCTTAAGGTTCACTCCATCACCGGAAATAGATTTCAGAGGCTCCCCACTCCTGGAATAGGAGCCCAGGGTCAACTTGGGCTATGAAAGTGACAGCGGAAGTCTCTAGAAGAGGCTGTGTTCCTGCCCAGGGCTGGTGGGAGCATATGCTTGTCAGGGTCCTGTAACTTGAGTGAGGCTGGACAAAGTGACCCAAAGCTGGGTTTGGATTCCTAGACCCGGGACCCAGGAGGTGAGAAGAGGCGAGACCCTTGACTCTGATCCCCAAACCAGCCCCCAGCCCCACCCGCCGAGGCCGGCTCTCATCCCCCCCACCACCCCGACAACAGAGGTGTTTGTTCTCGGGCCTTTTGAGGCAAGAAAGGACACTCTTGACGCTTTTACCCTGCCCTTTAGACTGGCTGGGGAGTGATGGTTAGGGACTCAAAAGGGAGGAAGCCTAGCTGGCCAGCAGGGCTCACCGCCTTGCACACCTGCCTGTTTAAAAAGCAAAGGAGCAGAACAGTAGCTTTTGCCTAAAAATCACAAGCCAGATTTCTCTCTGGACCCTGTCTAATTTCTCCTACTCTCGTCGTCTCCTGTGAAATCGGGGCAGATCTGGGCTGCCGTGGAGAAGGTGTGGGCCAGGGTTCACTCCCAGCCCTCACCTGGCAGCGGTACTTATGCCTTGGACAAAACCTCAAGGGTCACCCAGGGGCGACCCTCTAGGCTCGTCATCCACTGAGGACGCCCATACTCAGAAAGGCAGCAGGACAGTCAAGTCCAAGCTCATCAAAGTGCCTCGTAAGCCCTCCCAGCAGCTCATGTCCCTTCTGTGTCAAGGGGAGGATCCAGCTCTGGGCACTTCCCGGGTCTCAGCGGGGATGGACCCTGGAGGTGACCAGGGGAAGGATGCCCGCCCAGGGCAATCATGAGTCCGGGGCTCCTGGGAGTTTCTGTGCCCCGCGAACAGACTGGCCAGCAGCATGCAGGAGCCCCTTATCAGAAAGACCTTCACGTTCACAGCGGCCCTCCAAGGAGGTACACTTGACCTGTCCAACCTTACAAGGGGTGTAAATGTCTCACAGAAGTGTCAGCAAGAACAAATGAACGAGTGCTGGTGGGGATGTAAGCACAGGTGGGCCAAAGTCAGATCTATCTGACGCAGCACTTTGCAAGGGCATGAGTCGTGACTCGGGGCGGCAAGTACTCAGCCTGTCTCGGAGAGGGGACCTGTGAGTTCTTGGAAAGACCTCCCAGCTGGAAAGGGTTCAGCCCCACCCTGGCCCAGCCCTGCTTCCTGAAGCTGAGTCAGTTCTCTTGTTGACTCTGACTGTCCTACAGTCCCATTCTCTGTCACCCCTCCTGTCATCAGCTCACACTGGAACCTTAGTGATAACGCTCACCTCCACCCCACAGTAGACTTTGATTAGGTCCTCAGGACACGCCCGCTCCTGTGTGCCAAGGGCTTTAGAGGGCCCGTCCCAGGGCATCATCCTGGCAACCCTGGGATGCCGGGGGTTGTATTGTTCTTTGAATTTCACAGCAGGGGGAATGGAAGGTAGCACAGCCAACATATCGTGGGCCCAGGAGTCGAACACGAGAAGACGAACTGCAAAGCCCAAACTTTAACTACTGTGTGCCAGGCGGCAGGGACCTCGGGGCGGTACGGGGGGCTCATGGCCCAGAGTTGTGGTTCTGTCTTGTCGGATCTTTCTGTACCCCTCAGGCATTAGGGCAGGAGTCTGCCAACTCTGCAGCCCGTGGGCCTAATCCGGCCCCCGACCTGCTTTTATAAATAAAGTTTTATTGGAACTCAGCCATGCACTTTTCTTTACATATTGGCTGCTCTCCCACTGCAGTGACAGAGTTGAATAGTTGCAACAGAGACCCGATGGCCCTCAAAGCCTAAAATATTTACTTACTGGCGCTGTTTGCTGTCCTCTGGCTCCTGGGATGAGGTCAGAGCATATCTGCACCCCTTCCTCTCTAAGAAGTAAAAGGAGAGAGCTGCCTTAGGTAATGTAGGCAAGGATGCCCGTAACCTTGCAGGGGAAGGTCAGCGCCCACTGAGCGGTACCACCAGGGGCCCTTTGTGGACGTGCCAGCTGGGGTGTCTTCCTGTCTGCCCACTTCATCTTATGAAGAGTTTGGCCTGGCTTTGGGGGGACACGCTCAATGACCCTGTCAGCCCTAAGCCACCAGAACAGTTCCTTTATCAAAAGACTAATAATAATTTTTCAGATGCTCATCGTCACTTTGATGCGCTGGTGGGTGGATGTTCAGGGGAAGCATCATGAAGTTGTCCAGAAGGGACAGGATGAGAGTTGATTAAAGGAAGCCCGTGCAAGATTTAATGTAAGTCCAAGATTCTGGAAGGGTCAGGATCTTCCTGAGAGTCTCCTTGACCTGGCAGCTCCAAGGTGGAGGCTCCCTCCTCCCAAGATGTCTGGAGCTATGAGTCCCGTATGAAGGATGCATGCGTGAGTTGGGGGAATAAAAGAAAACACAGGCTGAGTTTCAGGCCCTCAAACAAAAAGGAGATGAAATCTTAAACACTGGGGATTATCGTAGGTATTCTCTGCTGGAAGTAGAACAGGAGCCTGTGGCCGAATGGAAGTGTGTCCCTGTCCCAGGATCGTGGGGTAGGTGAGTGGGCAAGGAGGCCAGGGTGGAGCCGGCTGCTGGTCGACAGCACTCCCTGGCCGCTGTCCAGAGCTGATGGGCGGATTCCTGTTGGCAGCAAGGTAGACGGACGTGAGCAAATTGACCGGAAAGCCAAGTGACAGTGGAGTTTCCCTTTTCTATCCAATCCATCCACAACTCCCTCAGGCCACATTCCAGCATGGCTTGCCAAGTGGCAGCCACATGTCATGCCCTTGAGATCCTTAGTGACCAGGTGAGTCCTCGTGGACCTGTCCAGCCAAGGTAGAATCTCGTCTTGGGAGATACCCTAAAACTGCCTTCCTGTTGCCTTCAGACTGACCCTATTTCCTTCCCATCTTCCCTTTCCTTCCTCTACCAGTGGACATGCAGTTCAGTCATGGTAATTTGCTGCATGGGGGATGAGGGTTCTTAATTTATGTGCGTGCCTGAGGACCTCCCTGGGGGGGGTCATGTATCGCTTTTGTTCCCATCTCTTTCTGTTTCTCCTTCCCTTGTACTCCAATACCTGGTTTGTGTGCAAGGTAGGCTCTCGAGGCTTGGCTCCGACCAAGTGACCAATTCATAGAGCCCAGCCCCTAAGTGTCCTGCAGAGGCAGGAGGGCAGAGGGTCACCGTGAGCTCCCCAGGGGCCCCAGGAAGTCCAGCGTCAGTGCCAGACCAGCATGCAGAGAGCCCGTGGGGAAGCCCAGCCCAGACCCAGATCTGTGTCCCCATCAGAGTCTGCATCCATGCTTCCTTGTCCCATTTCTGAAGTTGCTTCTGGACAACATGTGATCTCTCCATCTCTATGCTTTAAGGGAATGGAACCCCAAGAGTGCTGAACGCCTCATATGTGCTAGGGACTTCATAGGCATGAAATCAGGTCCCTGGGGGACAGCAGTCCTTCATGGTTGAAGTTAGTACCCCCACGTGACCCCCTGCACGTTACATACAAAGATCTAAGGTGTAGACGTTCGATGATTTGTGCAGAGTCGTGCAGCTAAGTGGCAGAACTCGGGTTATCCTGACACCCAGTCAGTGTGCTCCCCGCTGTGCTGTAAGGTCCGTAAGCATGGAGCATCTCCAGGGACCAAGGACAGCGTGAAGCAGGGAGGATCCGTGTCCCCTTCCTCCTCGTGTTCACCTGCACGCATGCCCTGAGCTCTCCCCTTCCCTCACCTGTCACCGGGATCCACTGGGGCCTCTGATGCCATAGCAGGGCACTGGGCAGAGGCCAGGGCCCCCGTCCGTGTGGCTGCTCCATTCTGGACATCTGCCTTCACGCGCCTTCTTGGTCTTTCAGGAATTTAGCCATTGGAATCGGGATCCAGAATTTCCCAGAGGGCCTTGCTGTCAGCCTCCCGCTGCGAGGGGCTGGATTCTCCACCTGGAGAGCCTTCTGGTAAGTACTCCAGACGTCCACTGTCAGAGGCCAGGGTTGGGTCCGATGTGGAGCTCAGAGCAGTCCTCCTGCGGGCAAGAGCAGCCTCTTCTGGCCTGGAAGTGAGTCTGGAGCTCCTGGAAACACCAACAACCCGGTTGAATGCTGCACCCCCAGAGCTGGGAGAAGCCTCCAGAAACTCATCTCTTGACCTTCAGCCCGTGTTTCCTATTTGCAGAACCCCTCCAGGGATAGACACGCCCACTCTGGGTGGGGTTTTCTCTCTCTCCGGTGGGGAGAAGCAAGGCAGACCTTGTGTCCACTCTCCATGTCCCATGCCCTAAGGAGGCTCACTCACTGCAGCCTGTCCTCAAGAGTCATCACATTAGCTCCCGCCGTGACCCTGGTCACAGTGAAGACCAGGATTATGTCAACAGCATCTGGGCAGGTGAAGCTGTGGTGCTCACGCTTCGTGTTTTCATAGCCCCCAAAGGGCTTTCAAGTCTATTCCCTAATTTTACCTTTTCAGTGACCTGTAAGGTAAGGCCCCAGGTTTCAGAGGAGGGGATCATGGCCCAGAGTGTCAGCCAGCCAGCTCATCAAGCAGTGATGCCAAGGCTGCTGCAGGCTCTTCTGCCCCTCAACTCAGGACTCTGAGCCTCAGAACACCTCTTTACTGAAGGAGCCGCCGCTCTAGAATGTACGCTGAGAGCACTCAAGGGCTGCTCATAACAACAATTAAAAAACGCCTTCCAGGGCTTCCCTGGTGCCGCAGTGGTTGAGAGTCCGCCTGCCGATGCAGGGTTCGCGGGTTCGTGCCCCGGTCTGGGAAGATCCCACGTGCCGCGGAGTATCTGGGCCCGTGAGCCATGGCCGCTGAGCCTGCGCGCCCGGAGCCTGTGCTCCGCAACGGGAGAGGCCACAGCAGTGAGAGGCCCGCGTACCGCAAAAAAAAAAAAAAAAAAAAAGCCTTCCATTTTATAGGGCCTTGTGACTTACAAGTTCTTGCATATACTTAAATCATTTTAGTTCCATCCTGTGTCATCTCTTTCTCCATTGCTGGAGACTACGGAATAGAGGTTTCGGGGGAAGGGCAGAGCAACATGGCCCTAGAAATTTTTTTTAAATGTGAGTTCCATGAGCCCGGAAGCCGTGACTGCCGTCTCATACAGGAGAGACTCCAGGGGCAAGGAGGGGAGGGGAAGAGGGGTATCTGTGGTCAGTGTCCAGACCCTGAGATTAAAGTGTTTGTTTAACTGGACACACTCAAGAGCTGCAGAGTCTGCAGGCCCATGCATGTGAGCACGGAGCCGGGAAGCAGTGGCCCCTTGGAGGATGCTACAGTGCAAACAGTGTCTCCCCCGTGCCCACCGTCTGCTCCTGGCCAGGAAGAAGCGGGGGGAGGTGGGAGTTCACAGTCCTATCCTGTCATCTGGGGAGGAATGGAGGGGAAGTTGTCTCTCACCCCCATTTTACAGATGAAGGGACCGAGGCTCGGAGCCAGTAATATCTTGCCAAGTGCCCACAGCAAGGAACAGTGGGAAAGATGTCCCAACACCTCGTCTGTTGGTGTCCAGCCTGTACAGGAGTCTGTTGGCGGTAGGGCTTAGCCGTGGGGTTCAGGTACTGGCCTACCTCCTGGCACTGAATTCTCAGGGCTCATGTGGGCTGCTGTTTTAATCAGGGCTCATGTGATTTCATCCTATAGAAACCACTCTCACTAGCTCAAATAAAGGGAGTTTTTGAAAGGAGAAATCTCACCTTAATCCAAGATGGAGGGTAGTGGGGACAGGCCCTCACTATATACATGGCCGGGTAGGTCCACCTTGTCGGCAGAGGTAGGTGGGTACAGCTCCTTCAGAAGGGGTGCCGTTGTGGCCGGAACCCCCAAAGATACCAGGCACAGCTGTCCTTGGGAAATGTCCATACCACTCCTAGTCAAGTGTCCTATCCTTCAGAAGACAATGTAGTCATCAACCAGTAAATGGGTATATAACATGTGGTATATCCACACAGTGGGATATTATGCAGTCATCAAAGGAATGAAGGACTGATAGTTTTTACAACGTGGATGCACCTAGAAAACAGGATGCTAAGTGAAATAAGCCAGTAAAAAGGATCACCTATTGTATGACTCCGTTTATAGAAAATGTCCAGAATAGGCAAGTCCCTGGAGACAAAAAGCAGATTAGTGGTTGCCAGGGGCTGGTGGGAGGGAGGAATGGGGAGTGGCTGCTAGTGGGTGTGGGGTTTCTTTTTCGGGATAATGAAAATGTTCTGGAATTAGATGGTGGTGAAATGGTTGCACAACCTTGTGAATATACTAAAAACCACTGAACTGTACACATTAAATGGGTGTGCCATTTGGTATGTGAATTATATCTCAGTAATGTCATTATTTTAAAAGGACAACGTGGAAAACTTAAAACCCTAAAATAAACCTGGGAGGGGTGTCTCCTGTAACTCTGTAATAGGGAGTTGGGAAAGGAGACAGAGGTGGTGTAAAAACAAACAAAGAACAGCAAAGTGCTTTGGCACTGCCATGCTGATCTGATGTGGAAGACAATGCATCGTTTTTTCTAGAGCTGAGTCAGCAGTCTGAGCATGCCTGTGTCTGCTTGACCCTCCCCACGGCGGGACGTGTCTCTGTTCTCTCCTTAGGTACGGGCAGCTCAGCGGCATGGTGGAGCCTCTGGCCGGGGTCTTTGGTGCCTTTGCCGTGGTGCTGGCGGAGCCCATCCTGCCCTATGCTCTGGCCTTTGCTGCCGGCGCCATGGTCTATGTGATCATGGATGACATCATCCCCGAAGCCCACATCAGGTGGGAGAGCTTCCCCTCCCCCATCTGTCCTTGTCTCTGTCCCAGCCCGGCTGGCCCCCACCTCTAGATCTGCCCTGTCTTTACTTGCTACTCTGTTCTTTACTCCCACCCCTTCCAGCCCCTTCCCAAGATCATCCTCAACCCCCCACCCCCACCCCAACGCCCCGCAACTGTGTTCTTTGAAACTAAAAGAGGAATAACGGGCAGGTGGGTGGAGAGTCAGACCAGGTCATATTAGGCAGTGGCATACGTGCCCTACCCTCCACCCCCAATGAAACAGACTATTATTTTCTTATATTCTCTCTCTCTCTCTCTCTCTCTCTCTCTCTCTCTCTCTCTCTTTAGATTTTTCTGGGGCTGGAATGAGGGAGAAGTGAGCTCTTAAATGTTGACCACAGCTATTCATTCAGGTTCTCATTGTCTAGCTATAGGCCACGTGTTGGGGATGGAGGATTCCTCTCTTTGTTTCGTTTTGGTTTTTATAGAAGAATGATTTTGAGGCTAGTATTCAAGGTCAGATTACATAATCAGGAAATCATTGCTGCCTTTTATTATTCAAGCATGGATTGCAGAGCCATGATAGGTGACCTTGAGTAAGTTACTTACTTCTCTATGCCTCAGTTTCCCCACAGTAAAATGAGGATAATAAGAGTACTGATTTCATGTGTTTATCCTTTGGTATTACATGAGTTAGTCAGTTTGCCTGGCATCTATATAGTAAAGCCCCAATAAATGATACTTATTATTCATTGAAGTATATAGTTAATTTACAATGTTGTGTTAGTTTCACGGGTACAGGAAAGTGATTCAGTTATAGATAGATAGATAAACAGATAGATAGATAGATAGATAGGTAGATATTCTTTTTCAGATTCTTTTCCATTATAGGTTATTACAAGATAGCGAGTATAGTTCGCTGTGCTATATAGTAGGTCCTTGTTTATTTTATAAATAGTAGTGTATCTTTTAATCCCAAGTCAATATTATTATGATTACTATTAATGGTAGTAGCATATTTCTCTCGGAATTGGACACTGTGGAGGATGCTTTCAGCCGGGACGCTGTCCCGCAGAGCATCAAGGTCTTCCTTTTCTTCCTTTCCTTCCCTCCTAGTGGTAACGGGAAACTGGCGTCCTGGGCCTCCATCCTGGGTTTTGTGGTGATGATGTCGTTGGATGTTGGTCTGGGCTAGTTGCTGAAGTGCCTCGGACCCCGGGAAAGGCAGCACGAGGAAACGGCCGGGATTGGCTTCTTCAGGACCACAGCCTCTTTCTTCACATCAAAACGTTTTTCCTTTCTCTCCTTTTTGTCTCATTACCCTGATTGACTCTGATCATGACAATTTTTAGTTTTCTTTTAAGGGAGATAGTGGTTTTATTTGGAATTTCCGGTAGTCACGGAACTACAGATTTTTGCTTGGCAACTACATGGACTCTTTCTGCGGTGGGAAAACCAAGGACCTACAGATCAGGGAAGTCTCTGCTTTTGCACCTTTGGTCTCCCTCACTGGACTCAATGGCAACTCCTCAAGGTCACCTACAGAAGCAAGCTCCCAAGAGAGAAGTCTCCCAAGCATCTTTGCCTAGTGACTCAGAGCCGTGTGACCAGGACAGCTCTTGTCTGTCCTTCCCGATCTTTTACCATTGATCCTCTGTCCATCAAGACTCGAACAGGAGCATCGTGGACAAAGCAGCCTACTTCCCAAGGCCCGAGGAGGAACATACCTTCTTCTGCCTCCCCCCGAGGGGGGAGGCTGCCTGGGGTGAGACACAGACAAAGGGAAGAAAATCAGCTAGTCTTTCTCTCTTTCTCTTCTTTTAAGGCAAAGATTGACACTATTGAAGTTAAGGGAATTAGGACAACTGTGAACACACAGTGAGCCCTGTGAAAAGAGGACAGGGTGGAGCTTTGATCAGAGACCTCTGCTCTCTCTGGATTCCAAGAGCAAACCGGTTTGCCATGGTTTCCAAGTCCCCTAGACATGTGTTTTGATAAGCTTATAGGCTTCATTTTTCTAAGAGACCTGGGGACACCAGCAAACTGCTAGAACTCAACCCCTTCATTTACTTATGGAGGGAGCCACTTAAGCTCATTTAAGTGAACGAAAGACATTTGGAGTCTGCACTGGGTCCTTCTCTGTTGACTATTCGGTAACTTATAACCTGACCCAGAGCCCTTAAGCTGCTTTGCTGGATTTTGGCCAGAGAGCTCAGGATAAGAAAGGAAAAGGGGTAGGAAAAGAAGAGGTATTTTTTACATTTCCCTTTTAAAGTAAATTTGAACCAAATCATCCTTCTAAAATGACCCTAAAGAATGACTTGAACGAGACTACGCCCTTATCCACACAGCCTTCTCCATCAGGGGTTACATAACTTGTCTGCTTCCAACATAGCTAAGGCCTGCCGTCCTCACTGGTCATAGGAGCCTTTGGGACCTTGAGTGGGCTCTGCTGACAAGGCAGGCAGCCCAGGAGGCAGGTATTCAGACACTGTGTTATCAATGCCTGCCCTGCGTTTACATGTCTCATTGCTGCCAAGGGTGAATACTCTGTTCTGGGAATGCCCTATAACCCTACGCTAGATCTATGTTCGTTCTTCCAGAGCACTGATGATCAAAATTGAAGACACATTCAGAGGTTTGATTGGTGGAGATTCGTTGGTTTGGTGGTTGGCATATGGGTATCTTTATGTCTTTGTATGTCGTTCTACATAATGCAGACTTCTTTCTGATGGACAAGACCTCATAACTGTGATTAATACCAATAAAGGGGATATTGTTGTGGATGACCTGTGCTACGTCCAGTCCTTTTCAAAGCTGCTTCTTTCCAGGGTTGATCACATAAGAGCTAACTAAAGTTAGTCCTAGTATCTACCCTACCCAACACCAGGAGAAGCAAAGGAGAGAGTTCACTTGAGAAGGGCTAGCTAGATTCATGGTTGCAGACAACAGCATCCAACTCCAGCTTACTTAGGCAAAGAATTTAATGGAAGGTTATCAGGGAGCTCATAGGATCTACAGAGAATCGGGCTTGAAAATGGGTTGGATCCAAGAAAACTAGAGGTCTGGAACTATGGCCCAATCGCATCTCAAAAACAGCTCGATTTGGATGCCCTGGTCCCTCGAAACTGGACCATTACTCAAACTGCTGCCATCACCACCATGGGAAGGAGCTCTAAAGTGACCCTGATTCTCTGTGTCCTGGCTTCACGTTCAGCGTTCTGAGCAGGGCAGGATCGTCTAGCTGGCAGAGTTTAGATCCTGTGCCCAGGAACTAACCGGTCTTGTCCTCTTAGTAAGACTCACATAATAATGGATTTTCCAGTTTGGGGAATGAGTTCAGATGGTGGAGAGCCAAAGGAAGAAAAAAAATAAGTTTATGACAGCCTCACTCTTTTGCTGTTCGACATCTACATATACTTCGATTCTTCGATTTTGTCTTAAAAACAAAAACAAACAAACAAAACTTCCTGCTTAGATAACGGAGCTGTCCCTCACACAATGGAAACTTCAGAATTCCCTTTTCCCCCAGTGGCTAGCCGCCCAGTGGTGGAGCATATTCCCTTCTTGGATTCCAACAGTCTTAACCAGGTGGAACCCGACGTTGAAGAGAGTGTGTCATTTGGTAAAATGGGGGTGGCACCATCCCCACTCTCCCTTCTTCCAGACCTGCCTAGTCTGGCTATGGGAGAAATAACACCATATATTGAATACTCATTCTGAACAAACACCCATCTTAGCCAACAGTATCTCGTCCTCATTGGATATTGTCTCCTAGCTAGTCATAAAACCAAATCTTTAATAATTCGTGTCACAGTTCACAACAGATGATTGCTTCTGGATGGTGGGATCAAATTCTGAGGATATCTGCCTGTTGCCTCCCCTGTTTGTAAAGTGAATCCCTTGGTCAGAACTAGCGTTATAGGATGCCACGATGATAGGACGGACAGGAAGGCTATTCTAAATCCAGACATATGAGCCTGCCTCTTCCATAATGGAAGAGGTCCAAAGTAATCAGTCTGCAGCCAAGCAGTGTGTGGGACCATTGGAGTGTCATCAGTATCCGGCGTCAGGGGTCAATCACCGATCCTATGTGCACTCATTGGCCAGGTCTGATGGATGATGGACAGCCAAGTGGTTGAATCCATGCATTGTTCCATCTTTGGCAACATGGCCACTTTTATTCTTGAATCAGTTGAGAAAGCAACGATGTCCCCGGGGAAAGAAACTGTCATTCATAGATGGTCTTGGCCACTTAATTAGTAAGAGTCTCCTCCGCAGTGGAGACTATGGGTGACCCTTCACTCGAGGGACAATTATTTCCACACTTGCCCCTTCCTGAGAGGCGCAGCCATCTCTGCCTCCCCAAACGTCTCTGTCACCAGACCTCTAATCTTGCTTCTCTCCAGTGCTTGACCATTTGGCCAGACCATTTGTCGCAGTTCATAAACTGGTGTAGCTTCTTGCATCAAATCATCTGTCCTTCCAGGCAAAGCGGACGTAGAAATGTGTGCTTAGGATTCTCCCCACTGGGAGGTCTTCTCTTCACCTGCTACCCTCAGTGGAACTCTAACACCACAGCAGTCCATTTCTAGATGGGGCCAGCATATCAGCAGAGCCATTGGTAAACTAGGCTCAGCAGTTTTTCCTCTCTCAGTCACTTGGAAACTGTCTTTTTTTTAAAGCCGCTAGCACTACTTACCAGGACTGCCTCTCGTCTCTCAGATCCCTTACTGTCTGATGGCAGAAACATCTCATTCCCTCAAGGCTTTGCCTTTGATGGACACCTTGACTCATCCCAGGGGACTGGTATGGGACGTGGGGAAGGGGGGGGGTAGGTGTATGAGCGTCTGGATCTTCTCTGGGGACATTCTCATCCTGCCGTGCTGACGGAGGGACCGGAAGGCCGTTGGTTAGACTGCGCCAGGCAGGGTGCTTCCCGCCCTCGTCATCTCCTTGAGTCCTCCTTGACGTCTGTATTATAACCGCACTTGAACAGCGAGGCCGGGGAGGTCCAGGAGTCTTACTCGCCAGGGTGGTGCTGGGCAGCAGCAGAGTCGTTTCTGCTTTGCGCGGAGGATGCCCAAATTGACTTCCCGAGCCCCCTCCTTAGGGCTTTCTTTATTTATTATTATTTTTTTTAACATCTTTATTGGGGTATAATTGCTTTACAATGGTGTGTTAGTTTCTGCTTTATAACAAGAGTGAGTCAGTTATACATATATATATGTTCCCATATCTCTTCCCTCTTTGTCTCCCTCCCTTCCACCCTCCCTATCCCACCCCTCCAGACAGCCACAAAGAACCGAGCCGGTTTCCCTGTGCTTAGGGCTTTCTTGATGCAACGTTCTGCACACCTCCACCTTCCATAAAAGTTGGTTGAATCTGTGAAAGTTGGCTAAGTGGGAGCCCAGGGGCTGTTCGCCTTTTTTTCCCTTTTAAATTGGGGTATGATTACACATAACGAAAGGCACCGATCTTCTGTGTTTACAGCACTCAGGGTCGGCCCTGCGGCAGGGTCTTCCAGAGGCGCGGGTTCCCCAGCTCTCGGGTCATCTCCGCCTGGCTACTGTCCTGGGCCCGACTGGCCCGCCCGCAGGTGCGCTCCCAGCCCGGCAGCGCGTCGGGGAGCAGCGCAGAAGGTCTCCCGCTGGTGCCCCTGGCGCGGCGCTGTTTACCTGCCTGGGGCGGGGGCGGGGGCGGGCCCACGGG